TAAAAAAAAAAAAAAAAAAAAGATTTTTCAGGGGATTGGAGTAGAGACAGGAAGACCAAATAGGGGACCGTTGTACTAGTTCTACATGAAAAATGATAGTGGTTTGAGTCGGCTGATGGCAGTGAATGGACTTTATTTAAAAGAAGAAATAGTCAAGGCTTGAGCAGGGATTGGTTGTGGGTGGTGATGGGAAGAGATTTGTCAAAAATTCAGATTTGGGGGAAGAACAAAGATTTGGGGGGAAGGAGAAGAGAATGACTATGAGTTCACTTTGGACATGAGTTTGAGGTGCTTTTGAGACATGCAAAAAAGAAGTCGAATCAGTCCAAGATGGGGAAGATCTGTAATACTTTCAACAATAACATAAATAAAATGGAAGTCATCAGTCCGTATGGAGTGGATTAGAGCTCAGAGCAGAGGCCAATCTGGCAAAGGTGACAGAACAAGCAACTGTAAAGGCAGGCGGAGCAGAGGCAGTGCAGACCCCAAGGTGCAGAGTGCCTAAGGAGGGTGTGGGCAACCATGTGAGATGCTTTTGAGAGGTTTAGCTAGAAGGTAACTGAAGAAAACCCATTAGATGTAACTGTCTTTAATTGCCTAAGCAATTCAGGTAGAGTGGTAGACCAAAACCCAGATGCAGTGAGTTGAGGAATGGCTGGGAAATGGAGGCATGGAGACCTTGAGAATGGGCGCTTCCCCCCAACTGCTGGACTGGGAAGAGGAAGAGAAGGGAATATGGGACTGAGGAAGGGTTTTTCTTTAAGGCTGGGAGAAACTTGAGCCTGTTTCAATGCTGAAGGAAAGGTTTAATAGAGAAGAGCTGATGATTTAGAAGGGGGAAGGGGGAGCAGTCAGGCTGGGATGGTGACTCGCCACCTTGCTCTGGTTACCAAACTAAAAGGATTCTTTCACCTGTGAGCATCAAAGCCAATCAAGTGTGAACAGGAGTTTGCAGCAAAGAAAGTAAAAGTTTATTTTAAGGAAATGGTGACAAACTCGGAGCCACAGGTGAGCTATTAGCTCCAAAATCTGGCTTTTAGGGGATGGGTTACACAGGGGAAAAATCATTAATCAGGGTGGAGTTAGGGTTGTGGTCTCTATTGATTGGTCGTTGCTAGGGTAGGGGGTAGTTGATCATTGCATCTGGTCCTGATGTCAGCTATGGCGTAATTCTGTCCAGTTTTGCAAGGCTAGAGGAACAAGAGAGTTTCCGTGTCTGGGGATTTTGACTAGGAGCTTAACCAATGGATCCTTCAGGATTTGGTGAGTTTGCAGTGGCTCCACCCTCCTAGCCAATCCATGGTTCCCCAGACTAGACTGACAGGCAAATGTGTGTAGTGTCAGACTGGTTGAGAGTCAAGCGGAGGTGAATGGACATATTGGTAGATGAGGCAACTGGGGGACAGGCAGTCACAAGGACCCCAAAGTGACTTAAGAGGGGAGCTGGACTTCAATTTGGGGCTTCCAGATGCCTCTACCCCTCTTCTTACACCTAACTCCCTAAACTGTGCACTGTGGCAGGTCCTCCTTCCAAAATTTCTCAGATCTCAGTTTCAAGGTAGCAAGAAGACACTGGACTTAGCCCGGCACTTGGGAGAATAAGCATTATGTTGGGACCTCCTGTTTGCAGGGCACTGAGCTCCCAAGGGTTGGGGGTGGACACAAGGAACTGCTGTGGGCAGGCCCCCTTCTCCTCTGGGGATAGGTGCCTGGGAGACAAGCTGTGGGTCCTGTTTTCCTAGAACAGGCCTGTGAGTCACATGGGTTTACAATCAATCCAAGACAGGCTTCTGCCAGAGGAACTACCACAAGTATTGACCTTGAGAACCGTTTAAACAGCCTGAGTGAGCTCCGGGCCCTATCACAGGCACCCAGATGCCCTATCACAGCTGCCCAGATGGGTGGGCCGCCTGGCGGGACCAGTGCCCCTCTGCACTGTGAAAAGCATGCATGACCCGAAACATCAGATAACTCCCTGCCATTGTACCTTGACCTTTCCGAACCCCGGACTCCAGAAGAATAAAACAGCTATGAATGTCAGCTGTCTTCTGGGAACTGAGAAGGGCTGCAGCCAGGCTTTCTGTGCCTCCAGCCAGCTCCCCTGTGGAGCCAGCACATTCCATCAGTCCTTTGTTTGGCCTCACAGACTGCCGCTGCGACTCCCGTGGGCAGATAACAGCTTGGAAAGATGACGTCAAGGCCACTGAAGAACATGCTGAAGGCAGAGTAACACATTTGCCTATCACCCCACCATTTTCATCCTCACCTTCCTCCTTGGCCTTCTCCGTTCTGGGCAGGAAACCAGGCAGGTCTTTCGGTTTGTTTGCCAAACGAGAGTGCAGAGACCACCTTGGACCAGGTTCTTTGCCTTTCTGGATTTTTCTCGGTCACAAGCATTTGCCACATGGCTGTGTGGCCTTCACATTGGTCATCTTAGTGGATGTCCCCTTTGACTGGATACATCCTGATTTTCAAATGTTAGCTAGCAAGCTTGTTTCCAGTTGGGGCTGTTATAAATAGCTCTGCTCCTGAACAGTGATTCATGGGTTTAAAAACTACTTACCGGATCTCTTTGTGAAGCACAATGAAATACGTAGGGGGAAATCACTTGCTTTCCCATACTTTTTCAAAGAAAAAATAAAAAGGGGAGAGATGGAACCAGTGGGACAAAATCTGTAATCTGGGGTGGTGGGTGTATGGGGTTTCATGGTACCATTCTCTCCTTTTATGTATATGTTTGAAAGTTTTCATAATAAAAAATAAAAAATAGAAATGTAAACACAGTCCCTGCCCTTAGGGAGCTCACAGTCCAGCAGGGACGCAGACAAGGAACAGAGCCCTGGCAGAGCAGTGTGGCAAGTGCTGGGATAGGCCTAAATGCATTAAAAAAAAAAGCATAGGATTACAAAGGAAATCAATTATATTGAGACACATTAATCAAAATATATATTTAAATTGGGCTACCGGTGGCCCAAAGAAAGTGTGAGATATGTGGAGCAGAGCAGCTCCAGCCAACCACAATCAGCTGAACCCCACAACACCCACCAGTGTGTGATCATTGCTTTAAGCTACTGAGTTTTGGAATAATTTGCTACACAGCAAAGGCTGTCTGATACAACAAGGGAGGGTACTGCCCACACAAGGCCTCACCTAAGCTTACACTTAAACCTGGAGCAGAAATGGTAAATAAGCATGTGAAAAGATGCTCCACAGCCTATGTCATTAGGGAATTGCAAATTTAATGAAAATGAGAGACCACTACACACCTATTAGGATGCCTAAATCCCAAGCACTGACACCACCAAATGTTGGCGAAGATGTGAAGCAACAGGAATTT